ATGTGTCTCAATTCTATTAGGCAATGAAATTCATATATCATATTATATAAATTAAATTATCATTCATATTTTGTATTAAAAAATAAAAATAAAAATACCAAAATACATAATTTTTCATTCTCTACAAATAGAGACTACATTTGATACTTTTTTAAACACAATTAATTTATCATTTTTTACAATTAATTTATCTTATTGGAAGATTATGACATAAATCTATAATTAGATGAATATGTTACATAGTAAGATGAACATGTTATAGAGTAAGATGAACATGTCATAGAATAAGATGAAAATATTATATTTTCACAGATGAAATTTAGATGGACATGTTCTAAAATAAGATGAACGTGTTATATAATAAAATAACATGTTATAGAATAAGATGAACATGTTACATAATATAATGAACATGTTATAGAATAAGATGAACATGTTACATGCACAATAAGGTGAACATGTTACATAAATAAAATGAACATGTTATAGAATAAGATGAACATGTTACATAATAAAATGAACATGTTATATAATAAGATGAACATGTTACATAAATAAAATGAACATGTTACATAAATAAAATGAACATGTTATAGAATAAGATGAACATGTTACATAATAAAATGAACGTGTTATATAATAAGATGAACATGTTACATACACAATAAGGTGAACATGTTACGTAATAAAATGAACATATTAAATAATAAGATGAACATGTTACATGATTAAATGAACATGTTATAGAATAAGATGAACATGTTACATACACAATAAAGTGAACATGTTACAAAATAAGATGAATATGTATTGTTTCAATCTACAATCTGTAACATGTTCATCATATTTGAAAACATACTCATTTTATTATGTAACATGTTCATTATATGTCAGTATAATAAAATAATTACGAAAAATTATGAAAAAACAAAAAATTAGTTGTGTTAAAAAACCTATCAAATGTGGTCTCTATTTATAGATAATGAAAAATTATGAATTTTGGTATTTTTATTTTATTTTTTTAATATAAATAATTAATGATATTTTAATTTATGTAATATGTCCCATTTTTCAATTAAAAAGGAAAATTGGGGATGTGACCTACACTCTCCAAATTTCTCTAGTATTGGGGAGTTTTGGGGAGTAAGGGTGCGCGTACAAATGTGCTCTGACACACCTAGCTAGGTGTGTCAAGGCACACGGTAGTGATACTGATGTTCTATGTTCACTATTTTATAGTCAACGAGACAATAATGTCTTGGTTTACTTGAATGTTTTTCATGATTTGACTTTCCACTTTCTCACTATTCCTCTAAGTATAGTGTTGCTTTCTCCATTAATTGGTCTTCTCTTAGATTGAAAAAAAAAAAAATTAATCATTTTTTTTCTTTCATTGCTTTTTCTCTTAGTTAATTTAAAGAGTTAAGTTCGAAACCAATAATCAATATTAAAATTTTTAATGAACCATATAATATATGTTTTTTTTTCAAACTATGTCAGAAAATAAATAAATAACTAAACAAAATATCGCCTGAATGATAACTTAGGAATTTCTTTATCCTCAAATTGAACTTCAACTTAACTTAGGAATTTCTTTATCTCAATGGGATCAAGTGGATTTTATTATTATTAGCCTTTTGAATGTTGACTTTTTTTCTATTTGATATGGATTTAGGTTGAATTTTGTGATATAATCTTCCTTATATATAATTCCCGAATGCGCTGAGTCTACGTGGCTGCTTCTGGTGCTTCGTAATCTTACTTGGCGAAGAATCATGCTTCGTAATTAGATTTGGACAAATAATATTGATATATAAATAATTAATAATCTAGGTTCGAGTATTTCATAAATATTATTTAGCTAACTTAGGTATTTTAATATCACTTGTACTAATATGACCCTTTAATTCTTTGTAATTTTATATAGTGAGGCACTAAGTGACTAAAATATCCCTGAATTTTGATTTGTTTCCTTCAATAAGCTATTGAATTATAAATGTATTTTAAAAGTTGATAACTTTTGTATTTCTTATCGGTTTTACATATATAATATATCACATTAATTATCTTTTGATGATTTTCGATTTGACGTCCATATTGTATATATGAAATAAATAAATTATATTTATCTTTATCTTTATAATAATAAAAAATAATAATATTTATTAAAATTCATTAGAAAAATAAAATTATTTCTCAATTGATATATTTATATTTAATGTAGTTATATATTGTAAGTTAAAAAAATTAGTATAATATATAATAAGTCACACAAATAAAAAGTGTCATAATAAATATATAATAATATATATATACATATTCTTATAAAAGATATTTAAATTTTCAAACTATTTTTTCTCATTAATTTTAGATTTTAAGAAAAAAATTATATATTGCTTCCTTAAACAGTGTTACTAGTAAGATTATTATTATTGCTTCCTTAAACAGCAGCACAAGCTCAAAATCCCTCTCCATTAACTAAACCAATCGCTTCAAATATCCAAAAAAAAAAAGGTTAAAATTCAATTTTCGGACCCCAAAACTCGCGGCGAGGTCACCGGAAAAAGGGGCAGCAGCTGCGGCTCGCCGGACTTCGTCCTCGGCGATGGGTGGAAGTAGAATTTCTTCTCCGCGATCGCCCTCTCCTCCTCCAACGTCGGCGACGGCGCCGCCGCCGATCTTTCCAGGCTGTCCCCGTTCAGCGGCGTCGGCGGGCTGAGGAGGGCCAGGGACGGAAAATCGAGCATGCTCGGGGACAGGATCTCGGTCCTCCGTCCAGAAAACCCCGCCGGAAGCATTGTATTGATCATGAGGCCGCTTTTGAGGCTGTTCCGCCGTTCGTACAGCTTGAACCCCTGCTTCTTCTGGTTGGTGCTCTTGATCGGAGGTATTCCACCGCCGCCGCCGGTGACGGAGGATCCGGTGAGCATCTGTACCACCTGATTGAAGTTGGAGGCTGTCGCCTGGACGAAGGTGGTAGGGTGAGGGCTGGGGGACTCGTGAGATCTGGAGGCGGCGGGAATCGGGTGGGGCGGTGGATATCCGCCGCTGGCGAAAGGGGAAGTCGCCGGAGATGAGATTTTACCTCTCTCTGGGGGTATTGATGAGGCGATTTCCATTTCTTCCCCTTTTATTTTGAATTGAGAGAGTCTGAATTCAATTCACCTCATATTTGCATGAAATTAAATTGGGATTTTTTCGGAGTGAGCAGAGGTTTTTTGGTGGGCAGCGGCGGAGAAGAAGATGAATGGGGCTTCTTTGTGTGTGTGTGTGTGTGTGTGTGTGTGTGTTTTTCTCTGTTTGTGAAGTTTTGAGAGGTGTTTTTGTTCTCCCTCACACACATACACACTGTTCCTCACTAGACTTCACCATTATATTTATTTCATTTCTCTCTCTCTCTCTTTTTTTTTTGGTTGTGTTATTAATGTTTTTCTTATTTAACTGGATTATCAATTATACGGCTATTATTGGGTATTCAATTTTTCTTTACTTGAGTTGTGTGTGTTGAGCATCAACGGTGCTTTAGGTTCAGTTAAAAAAAATTATAACATCTAAGAAATAGACGCAGTCTAAACAAATAGAAAATGCTACAATTCTGTTACGGAATTATTCCGTTAAGATATGTAATTGTTAGATCACCATGGAATGAATATTTTGTAGTCTATATATATATATATATATAATTACTAGCTGATGCATTTAATAAAACTTATTTTCATTTCTCTCCAAAAGGAGTTATATTTTTTTTAATTAATTACTCACTAATCTACTAAACCGTTACATCTTAATATATATTTTTATTATTTATCTTTTTGCAGTTACTAAATTAATTCTAATTTGGTAGCAAAATATTCAAATGTGTAACGGCTAATGTTGGAACTTAATATTGATTGACACATTCAGAGCTGTAACCGCTATATTTGGTTGCTGCATTGTTGGAAAAAAAATATGATTGACACATTTTTTTTTCTAAAAAGCAGAAACACCAATAATTTTTTTATGTTAATTTTCTTAATATATGCCATAAATATATAAATTATTTTATTCATGTTACAAATATAAACGTTGCATGGTTAAAATAAAATTTAAATTTCAATTAATTTTGAATGATAAAAATAACTTAAAAAAATAATAATTTTTATATGATAGAAGTACATATCTAATTAATAAATACAAACAAAAACGTGTTTTACATCTGTGCAAATGCATAGGATTAAATACTAATAAATTATAATAATGTCACTATAATTATTGTATATTTTTCAACCGATTATATATTTAAGATGTCAATTTAACTGACTTAAAATCATAAATTTATTATGAACTAACCACAATACTGATTCCATTTAAAGATGTCAATTTAATTGGCTCGACTTATGGACTCATCCACATTTATTTGTGTGTAAAGAGGTACTTTTGCATTCAATTTATGACCGTTTGTTTTATTGCTTATTTATTTCCTCATGAGCAAAGTGACAAAGAATCGAATTCCCATTGAATTGGAATATTGATAAATGGGATAGAATTAAGTGGTGACCATAATATAAATGATATTATGATATTCACGTATGTAAGAGCTTAGTTACTGATTTGTTTGGATTTGTATAATCAATAAGAAAATTATCAAAAATTATGAAACTTGATTACTATATTACTATAATTTTCCAATTTCCATCATATGGCTGATATAAAAAGCGACCAATAAAGTAAAAAATCAATTTCCATTTTAATATCGTAGTCATGTTTAATATACTTAGCGACTATATGCTAATTGAATGAACTAGCATATTAATTGTTTGATATAAAAAATAATCGATCTTACATTTATTTATTAGACAAACTCATATTGATTTTTTCTTTTTTCAAAATTAACGTTTTGGATCCAAAAAGTTACTTCGAATCGCTAATTACCAAACAATTAAATTAGAGATTATGACGGATCAAATCTTTAATTTAATTTAAAAAATATGACAACATTTTTTTTAGAATATGTTTGAACTTTGACCAGCTAAGTTTGATTACTCAAAATATTATACTATAGCCTCAACATACATAAGTGAGAAATTATTTATCTTTCATTAGCATTAATGGCTTCGAGTTAATTAATTGAGAGAGAACTAATAGAGCTCTTTGGCGGGAAATATGCGACCTAATATATTCCCACCTTCTTTAAAGGCTTCAATAATTATTATGAATGTTAATTAATTTCATTATTGACTATAATAATAACTGCAATGTTATTGATCTTTTAAAATCCACTAGGCTGTATACAAATTGAGGCTGGCCTAAAACATAGCTCCTTAAGACAAAATTTTGACACTAACTTTTTAATGAATTCGGTCTAATCGTTATGTGGCTCGACTTGTTATACTATTTGAACAAATGCGTGTTTATACTATCAAATGACATATTTTTGTTTATATTATTTTTTAAGTGTATTTTTTTTTAATAAAAGTATGTATCATTATAAAGAGAGTATGTCAACCAAAAATATATGTAATTCATGCAAAATATATTATTTTTTAATATATTAAATGAATTTAGATTTTGTTATGTAAACAATCAAGTTGAATTGATAAAAAGGTACCCATAAAAAGGTAAAGTAACCAAAGTAAATAATAATCTTAATATATAAAAATTATTTCTTCAAAAACTAATTAACCACTGTAATTGTTCAAAGTGTTGACTTCTTGTGGACCATGCTATTGCTAGATCAAGATAAGCAATCTGTTGTTATTATACCAAGAGGCAAAATGATTGAATTTTGAAGTTTTGTTGATTGGTTGGGTTGCTTTTATTTTTATTTTTATATATTTATTTATTTATATTTTAAAATTTGGTTTGATTCATTAGGCCATACTAATTTGGCCTAGCATGTTAGCAAAAGTCTTGTGAAGTTGAATTGTGTGCTTCTATTTTGGATTATATATGTTAGCACATGCCATCAAAACTTACTCAAATATTCTATCAACTCTCCATTTTTTGTGGAAATTTTTGTGTCAATTTTCTCAAACACAGGCAGATGGGCTGGGCCTGGGGCCCAGACTCATTAATCAATTTAATATCTGCATTGACATACAGTAGGTAAATTTTCTCAATATATATTTATTCCAAATTGGGAAAATGAAGATAACATATTTCCCCTTAAAAACAAGTAGTATTACTATTACATATCACACACAATCAACATTCTATAATTCTTGATCTTTTTTCACCAAGTTGTGAAACCAAGAATCAGTACAACCTCACCAGCAATCAAATTCATCAAACATTTTTTTTTTTTTATTATTATTATTATTATCAAATTTTTGTATTCAAAGGCTAAAAACAAACAGGAAAGGTTTCAATCAAAGTGCCCTGGCCACATTCTTGAACTCATTCAAGCACGAATGCAGTATTTTCTGGCGCTTTTGAAGCGACTGCCTCTCGTTTTCCAGAAGGTCGATGGCTCCAGGTGCAACAAACATTTCCATAAACTTCTCGTCCGTCACAGCAAACAAATCCAGCCCCAGTTCAACCATTAGTCGCTCTCGACTACAAAATAATAATAATATTTTCAATAATAATAATAATAATAATAATAATAATAATAATAATAATAGTAAGAATAAAGAATGACGGGCCACATAATACCAAGGTGTCAAGAACCCGGAATTCAGAGTCGAAGCCACACCCCTCTCGACCAGCACCTCACGAATCCGCGCGAAATGCCGCGCAGCAGACGAGCAAATCTCCTCGTAAGGCGACCCAGACCTCGAGCTCCCGTCCCCACCCCCAAACATCATAAGCCCACCACCATTTTGGGCCCGTTTATTGGGCCCGATCCTGGATTGTCGCTTTCTCAACCCCAACTCCACCACACAATGACCCCCGAGCTCCTTTTTCACGACATAACTCGCGTCACACGGCTGATCTGGCGAAGGAGTCTCTGGCACTGTCATTTGGCACTCTCTCAGGGCTTCCCTATGCTCCACAGCAGTCTTCCCAGGCGTTATCTCGTTTCTCTCAGGGGGAATGTTCTCCTGTTCGACCGTGGTCTCGTTTGTGGAACCGGGCGTGGGCCCCACGCTCGATAAGTCGAGGCCAAACGACCAAGGCTGGATCTGGTGTGCTCGGTGGGTGGTCAAAGCCATGGTGTCGGCTTCATAGCACACGAGGGAGTATGGGCTGGTGACCGAGTCGAGGTGGTGCCTCACAACCTGTTTACAGTCCCTGGCGAGATCTTTAACGAATTTGTGGTAAGAGTGCCTTAAGGCAGCATGGAAGCCCACATAACCCTCCATGTCTCCCGATTGTTGACCGCCTTACAATTGAATTAAGTGAATCAATTAGGGGAAAGAAAATAAGCTTTAGTGTTTTCATGTCTTCAGAACAACATCTCAAAAGTTTGTTATTTTACTTCCATTTTTATTTAGAAGCTCATGCAAAAGTCACAAAAGCTAATCTCGCAGTAAACATGAAGGCGATGAAGTTATTTGCTGAACTTCTAAACTTACATGGTGGGTGAGAAAGTCAGATTTCTCTCGACGTAAGTGTTTGTGTCTTGAAAACATCACACAAGTTATTTGTGTCTTGAAAACATCACACAAGATTGCACAGAACAAAAGAAATCGTAAAAAAGAACAATTGACTAAGTGTTTGTGTCTTGAAAACATCACAAGTTTCAATTTCTCTTCCCTTTTGTTTAATAACTCATGCAAAAAATTTAATAAGCTAATCTCATACACATGTGAAATTGTGAACTTGAAAGTATCGTGTGAACTTCTAAAACTTACGTGGGGGTTGAGAACTTCGATTTCTCTCGACAGCAATATCGAAAAGATTGCACAGAACAAAAGCGAGACGTTCACATGCGGTGTCGAGAAGAGGGGTGAGCCATGACCTAGCTGCCGCACGTGCTATCTCTGCAGCTGCTTCCATTACTCCTCTGCTCCCACCTCGGCCAGCATGAGCAAGTAAAATATTCGCCACCTGTAAAGTACAATGTTGTTGATAGTTTTTTACACGGGCAATTTCCAACCAGCGAGAGATAGAAAGAGAGAGGAGGTTCAGATTGGTAGAAAAAGAAAACAAAATGATGAACCTTCTCCCTTGAGACAACCGGGCATTCCACAGAATACGTGGCACAACGAAACTCATGCACCACCCTCTCAAACGCAGCACCACCATAAAGACGAAGAGTGGCGTTTGGAGGCTTTGTGTCCGTACTAACACCAGGCCAACCTCCAATGCCACTCTCCAATTTTTCCTCTTCAGTTGTTTTGCCCCACTGTTCAGGAGCTGGATCGGCCGCCCCATCAAGAAGAGAATCCTGTAAGAAAAACAATAAGTCACCAT